GCATTGCAATAAAAACGTGGTTAATAAAAAAAAACACCCCAGCATTGCGTGTTGCGCCCTCCCTCTCTTGGGGTGCAGTACTACGATGCCGCTGGGGTCACTCAAACCCCCAGAACTGAGCCTCTACTTTAGTCAATCCTCTTTGGAAAGTACGAAGTAAGAAAAATCCCTAGGGGCGAATTTCCCCCTCCAGTTTTAGTTATTGCGCGAACGTGTGTACCAACTGTTTTTTAAGTACACTTTTCGTGGTAATCCTGATTCCATCATATTGCTTCAGAGTTCAGTCTAACTCTGGTCACTGAGGCAGTTGCGGTTTTGGAACAATTAAAATCAATAAAAATGGCAAAATACAGAATTGTTATGGTTCGCCATGGAGAGAGTGAATGGAACCAGTTGAATTTGTTCTGTGGATGGTTCGATGCTGGATTGTCAGAAAAAGGTACCGATTTGTCACTCCAAATTATTAGAGAAGATCTGAAGGGCAAAAGGTCGTACCTGCGACTCGGTCACGATAATTCAAGAACAATTATTTTATTTTATTTCGGAAAATTCCATAAATTCTTTCCATTATTTCTGATTAAAAATTCCCTTATTCACACGATGAATCATTTAAACAATCTAATAGTTGATTATGAAATGAAATAAATTAATTAATCAATGAATAATTAATTATCGAAATCAGTTATCATGTGAATGTATTAAATAATGTAATAGGTGATGGAATAATTTAATTTTATTCTTGAAGGAAAAAGCGAAGCAAACGCAGCAGGAAAAGCCTTGAAGGAATCTGGTTACACCTTCGACGAGGCTCACACGTCAGTTCTAACTCGTGCACAGGTGACTCTGGGCACCATTCTGAAGGAAATTGGTCAAGAAAACATTCCCATCCACAAGACATGGCGATTGAACGAACGTCATTACGGTGGTCTCACAGGGATGAACAAGGCAGAAACAGCGGCTAAATATGGAGAAGAGCAGGTGCAAATATGGAGGAGATCCTTTGATACTCCACCACCACCAATGGAGCCCGATCACAAATATTACAAGACCATCGTCGAGGATGAAAGATACAAGGATGGACCCAAGAAGGAAGAGTTCCCCATGTTTGAGTCACTCAAGCTGACGATTGAGAGGACTCTGCCTTATTGGAATGACACCATCATTCCTGCACTGAAAGCAGGCAAGAAGATCATCATTGCTGCCCATGGAAACAGTCTCAGAGGGATCGTTAAACATCTCGATCGTAAGTATCGCTCGTTTCATTATTTATTGGTTTATTTATCGTGCAATGATTCATCTATTTTTATTTTTATCTTGAAAAGAAATGAGCAATGACCAGATTATGGGGTTAAATCTGCCCACCGGCATCCCCTTCGTCTACGAACTCGACGAGAACTTCAAGCCTGTGGTGTCCATGAAGTTCTTGGGTGACGAGGAAACCGTCAAAGCAGCAATAGCTGCAGTAGCTGCCCAAGGAAAAGCCAAGTGAACGAATTATTCAAACCACCTTCATGAGATTATACTCAACTCCACTAGAGCTGTCATCAATGATTATTCAAAGACAACTGAGGGGATTGATCCATTGCTAGATGCAATGCAGGGTTGCATACACATTATTTATGAACAAAATGATCTACGCTTATATTCATTTCAAACTTTTTGTCTTGAGGATTTCGAATGATTGAGTCATTCTACTGTACACGAATAATAAAACAATTGTAGAAAGAATTTATATCTGTAATTTTTTAAGATATCCATGGAATCGATTACAAATCAAATTAAAAAGAGTATTTGTTCTCATACTTATCGGCATTTTGCGTCGATAACTGGCACACGATATCTTTTTACCGATCGAAAAATCGGTACAGCAGTTCGTAAATAATTTTCGACTTCTCGGAGGCTCGAATTCAGAAAAAATAGTGAGATCGTCTAATTGGAGTGTTGATCAGTTCCCTGTATTCCGTTGGATAAAATAAACCTGTCAACATGACGATGGCAATGCTGCAACGTCGTGCAAACGTATGTTTTTCATTTTTTTTTATCAATGTGAATAATTTTCCGTCTACAGAAAATTTCAGAACGCAAAAACATAACCTCAAATCATCGTTAATCTTATTATCCTATTTATTTAATTCCGATATTTATTCATTAGTGTTCATTTTTTATTAATTTTACCCCACCCACTACTACACATGTTCATATCTTTACGTCAATTATTTCTCATGTTCTTTAATTCACAGGTTAGACTTCCACCAGAAGTAAACAGAGTTCTCTACATCAGGAACTTACCTTACAAAATAACTGCAGAAGAAATGTATGATATCTTCGGTAAATATGGAGCCCTGAGACAAATTCGAGTGTAAGTTGAAATGAAACTTGAGACCTGAGGAGATTAATTAATTGGAGTTAGCCCCAGCTTCCATCACTCTCTCAAAATTCTCTCAATTCACTGCTGAGTTATATTTATATCTCATCCGATCATATTTATTCTTCATTTTTATATTTATATATAATGAATATTCAGATTTTGACGTGATGCATTGCATGCGAATATTCATAATATAAATTTTTTGTGCTTGATATTTTTCCGATAGTTTTGATCGCTGGGTTTTGATGGATCGTTTGGTATGATGAAAATAAGACATAAGTCATGAGATAATTTTTATTTACAGTGGTAACACCGCAGAAACTCGAGGCACAGCTTTCGTCGTCTACGAGGACATCTTCGATGCTAAGAACGCGTGCGATCATCTGAGTGGATTCAACGTCTGTAACCGGTATCTAGTTGTATTATATTACCAGAGCAATAAAGCATTCAAGAGGGTAGATGTCGATAAGAAAATGGAAGAAATTGACAAATTGAAGACCAAGTACAATTTAAACGAGGAGAAAAAATGAAACTGTACAATTTTTTAAATTATTCATGTCAGTAATTTAAGATTTCAATATAATCTAAGTTGTAATTATTATATCATCGTCATCTGCGTTGAAAGTCTGTCCCATTGTTTACTTCACGTGACAAGAATAACAAATAAATTTTTAACAAATGATCGCATTTCAATTTTCACTCGTTTTTGAGAATTTGACAATTCCAGTAAAAGGCTCTGATAACTGGATATCCAAATTGCATCTGCAGTGACAGGAAATCGGAGAGAAACCGGCCCCCAGAAGACGACACATACTTTAAAAAATATGTAAAAAATTCAAGAGCGGCTCCCATGGGACGATAGCTATTTCACATTCCTCGATGTCCCCAGAGAATAGATCAAGATATCCTGATGTATCTGGTTTCCTGTCCCAAGATCGTATTATTTCCTATTCCAACTAAAACGTGCTAGAAAAAAAAATTGACACAACCATAAAATCAGTTGAAAAGGGCGGAGCGTTACCGATTCCGGTTTTTTCCAACTCCGAACTCCTTTTAAGATGACTCCGATAACCGGCGCCTCAGTTTGAATAACTCAGCAGTAAAAGCAGCAACGTCTGCAGCTGTAAACAATCGCTCTTCAACTTCACCAGGTAAAATGTCCCTCAACGGGACATGGACTATTCCTGAGGAATTTCAATCATTATATTCATGGTGGGGCAGCATTCTCATACTAGAAATGATGGTGTTGATTTGGTTCACCGGACAGGCTCGAGTGAAAACCCAGGTAGAATCCATATACTAGCTATTTTCCTCTGAAACTGATAACCAAATGATAATTCTGCAGACAATACACAGCGAAGAGGATCGAAGATGGATTGAAAATTCAAATGTCACTCTTCATCCCAGTGGAGATGGTCATCCGAGTGTCGATCGTCTTCGCAACGCCCACTTCAATGATTTGAAAATCATATTGCCTTTTTTATTGATGACACCTATTTGGTTGACGACGTCACCCCATCCGGTCATTGGTAAATTGTTTATACGTGTGTTTTCTATGTGCAAAATATTCCATACACTTTTCTCCATAAATTTAATCGCAACACCGGCATCTACAATCTTAATAACTATTTGTTATGGTATTTTATGTTACATCGGTATCAGTTTGTTTTTGTTCTACTCATTTTTATAAAACGATTTATTTATATCGAATTCTAAAATGAATAATCGGTGTCAATAAAATTCCATTATAAAATGGGTTTATCGATCTCGATGGAAATTCTTGGAAATTCTTCGTAAACAATTTATGTGAGATACTTTAAGTTAGAAATTATTATTGTTAATAAAACTCACAAAGCCTTTCAAAATTTACAATTAAAAATACAATTAAATTTACAATTAAAAATACAGTTCTTCTAGAATCGCTGTAAATTATTTCAAAGTCTCTCCAGAAAAATTTCCCGTCCTGAGAAATCCTTCGGATATATCACATTATTCATAATAAACTATTTAAATAAAATAAAACAATTAAAACGCGCCATTCCGTCATGTTGTGGCAAACCTGAACTTCTGGCAAGGAGTTCCCCTCTCCAGCATTATGTATATTACCAGAAATCCACATACATAAAGCTGACAGCCCTCAAAAGTATAAATTCCCCTTAACCAGTAATTCACAACGTAAAATAAATTATCGAATTCGTCACTACGAATCGTTAGATAACAATTGAAATAACATCTTATCGTGAATTAATTCGATAATCAAGTGCTGGCAGTTTGAGTTTTTGTTTATCGATTTCTGTGGATGTAAATGAATTTTTGAAAATTGTTTAAAATTCTGATGACACAGATCGAGGGGGTGGAATAAGTGGAATAAGTAAATAAATAATATATGTAATTGTGTTGGTATTATTGGGTGGAGTAAGGGCGCAGAAGCAAAAAAATTGAGAAAGTGGGAGTTGAAGGCTGAGCGAGTGGCGCGTCAATGCGGTATATTTCAGCAGCAAATGACAAAATTGTGGCGGAGGCAATGGATATGAATGGGTGTAAGTTTGTGGATAAATAATGTGTTAGTTACCATGGATGAGGATTGAGTTGAGACCCAATGGGCCTGACGGGGTGTGATGACGAGTATTAGACGAGTGTAAGTGAATGGACGGATGGTGTTGTGGTCAGACGTATTGGGTGGGGGGAGTGATGATGTTTTTTGGTTTTTCCACGAAACGACCAGCTGTTCACTCACCGATTAGGGAAGAGGTGGGTCTACACACTCATTTCATTTATTTTATTATTCAACGAACCTAGCGAATTTTTTATATACACATTTTTTAGAGATAAGGATGAGAGCTATGGAAAAGGAATGTATCAAAAAATCGATATCTCCCTTCGATTTCGAGATATTGGATAAATACTTGCCTTGAAAAAAATGCATTTATCCTAGTTCACAAATTCGCTGCAGAATTTGATTTTGCATTCTCCATGGATCTATTTTTGCTAAATATATGAAGATCTCATATTTTTCCAATTCTATTTTTGTTGTAGATAATATGATATAATAATTATATTATTTTCATTTGTGAATAGTATAATGATGATTATTTATTTTATTCCATCATTTGAAAAAAAATAAAAACGCACAATATTTTCATAAATTTTCAGAGTAATGAATTTATTTTGTTTCATGTATGTTTACATTTTTATACTCATACCGGAAATGTCTGGGATTATGGAGATCGAGATTTCATTTATTCGTCGTAATACAGAAATTTTATTATTCTTTCAGATGCTGGTGACACATGGAGAACCCAACGAATGGGGTAAGTTAAAATGGAAAAATAATTTCTACAGCCTCAATATGATACTTGAATATTTTGAGGAAAATTTATATACAAAATAGCAGTTATGAGGAAAAATAAAAATAATGATAAAACACTGGTGATACGACTTTCTAACGCCTTGGTTTAACGAATGAATTATTTATCGGTGTCAATTTGAAATACACCATTCTCGGATATCTGTATTGAATTATCTCCTGGAATACCAATAAGTACTGCATAAACATGGAATACTGATGTCAATAAATCCAAATGCAACTTTGATTCTGCATCTGAATTTTTATCCAGAGATTCATTAATAATTTCGTAATCTCAAAATGAAAAAAAAATGCTTCAACTACACTTTGACTTTATTTGACTTTATCAAAATAGTAATTATAGATTTCCGTAGACGATTCATTCCTTAAAAGAAGAAATCCATATATCTCAAATTAGAATGTCCCCCGGGTGTACCAAAAAAAAATAAAGAAAAAATGCCTGAAAAAATATTTGATTTGTCTTTGGAATGAGTAAAACGATGTAACCTAAATAGCAATTGTCACGAGTCGAAATAAAGTGGAAAGAAATAGAGGTAATGATGAAGATTAATGATGCCAGTCATTGAGAGTGAAGTGGTGATTATTCGCCGCAGTGACATCTTCGTAAAACCTAAAGAAAATAAAAAAAAAAGTGAAAATAAAAGAAAATTTACGTCTCGGGAGAAAAAACGAGACGAGGGGTGGTAAACAATTATTTATCCTCTCGAATAGGTCATAATTCAAAGACATCGAGCCTTATCTCGATATTATAGAGTCATCAAGGCTCCCATAACGCCTACAGAACTCCATGTCCGAGAGTATCCACTCTGCAGATTATAATCTCGAAGAATCATTTATATCCATTATATGGTTTTACACGTGTCAAACCTTACGAAACACTGAATATACTTCACGTGTATCAAATATATTTAATCCTGTGACTCCCGGGTAATGTCGTTCTAATTCCGTTGGTGAAATGTAACGGCTCTTCTGCGAGACCTGAGTTTCTAATCGCTGATGCAGAATTAGTGAGAAACTATGCATTTGCCATGCCAAATTCATTCCTGGAAATTAAAGTGACATAACTCTTGAGAGTTATTACCGATATCTTCTCATTTTTCATGTCTATTTTTTTTTTAATTCCTGGGAAACTCTCATTCAGATTGACGTAAAAAAATATACACTTCCTCGCTTTTGTCAATATTCAATGATATTTTTATAAATTTTTGGTAAAGTTTTGAATTGCATTGCCCGTATTATCCTCACGCATGCCCATTCCATCCGACACGGAAATAGCCACTACGTTACAAATGATCCTGGGAAGACGTCCCCATAGTCACAATTTTCACACACATATACTGTGACAAATTCAACGAAAACGTTTAAACTGATGAAAATAGATCGGGAAAGATGTATTCACAAGTGACTCGGGTCGAGTGCAGAATAGGAGGGAGAGCTTGGAAATGGGGATGATGATGCAGTTGACCTGAATAAGAGTCAGTGACCTATTCTGGTCTCCCCTATTCCCTCTTGACGTCTTCTGCCTTTACAGAATCAAAAGTTTTGGGTAGGGGAAAGGTAAATGTCGTGTATGTACCTCGAGTAACCATTGAATTTGAAATTTTATGTTCAAACCGATTGGGGTGACAGCTACCGACTCCACAAACTTGCTGATTTTTTGAATTTCACATGAGCTTACTTTTTATGATTTCATGATTTTTTATTCATGATTTTTTATTAATGATTTTTTTTTTCATAATTTTTTTTTGTCATGATTTTTTTTCCCCTCCGATAACAATAACGATTGAATGGCGACAATTTTTTCTGGTACCCGTGAAAAATTGTGAATTCAAAATTTATTATTGTGAGGAAAATATAGAATAATGGGTCGTTGATAAAGTTGTACAGTTTTTTATTGGGAGAGGTGATAAGAATTTGGAAATAATAATGTGGTGTATTTGATGTGACATTAGAAATTTTTGAATTGATTGATAATTAAATTGTCATAAACATTCAGAGATAATCAACGGCTTCAATATCCACTGCTGTCACGAAAAATGAAAATAAATTCGATTACATCATCTTACTTTTAATGTAATAAACCACTGCCTTAGCCAAGTGAGTTGAGTGCGTGATCGCTGTTTGTAATTTTCTCCATCGAGCCTCTGTTAAATTATTTATACTCACGCATCAGATACAGTGGCTAGATTGTATGGATAAACGATAGTAACACCAATGCCTGGTACCTCTGTTTATCAACTATTTTCCCTCCATTTTTTATTTAAAGAATCAAGCTAGGGCGACTAGAAGACAAAAGTTATTGCGTATTGGTGTCATTATGCGAATTGAATTGCAATTGATTTGTTTACGACGAGCGGGAAAGCAGTACTATTCGGTCTAATTGAAGTGTATTTCTCAATAATTGTTATTCATTCGCTCGTCCTTTCTACGGATGACATTTGATTGACGTCTTTTATACAATTCATAACTTATTCAATATTCTCTCCACTATATAATATATAAAATTCCCAAATGCTTGTGATCCTAATTAAATTTAATTTTCAATTATCGCAGTTCGATTTTGAATTGACAAAATTATCGAATATTTTCGAATCGAATCGATTGCTGGTTTAGTCTATTTTCTGGGGTGGAGTTGATGGTTGCGATGATTGAAATGATTTCTTTATGTGGATAAGAGTTTCATGGGGTTTCATGTGGAGATGAACTGATAGCACTGGTAGCACTGGATCTACTGGTGTGCACATGCACTGGGTATATCGGGGGCGAGGCCATCGGTGCATTGTCATCTTCCCACACGTGACGAGTCGAGAACTTGGTGATATATGAGCACGTACCGCATATTGCAACATCGTTCTTCATATCATTGTGTAATTAATGATCGGATGAACAAAATGAGCACCAATTACACATTACAGGGGAATTGATCGTCTCACTATTTTTCCTAATCACCTGACGAGAGATGAACAGTAAATGATAAATAGATTGATTGGGATGTCTCAGTATTGAGAGCTTGAAAAATATTTTCATATACATTTTCTCGTGGAACTTTTAAGAATTTACTGCAAATTGCACCACCACGTTTTACAATACTATAAATCAGAAAATCATAGTGGAGTCTTGGATTGTGATTGGCAGATGATGAAGTGACAGAGGGATGAGGAGGAAAATAATGGTTTACAATAGTCTATGGGCAATGGAATGAGGAAGTCTCGTACGTGGCGACAACCGAGGAATACTAAAGTCTGGGTTAGCAGTCAGTTGGACACGCTGGGGTGATGATTCTTTCACTCAAGTTCACGTTCGCACGATTCTTCCGGGGACTCTGCACTTTAATTGATCAAGTCTTCTTTAGGAAGGGCCCAAAATTCATCTGGGGCACGGGACACTAAATTCAAGGAATGATAATCGCTATTTTCCACAGAAAATGCATGAATTGCGAAACGCTCTGCCAAAAATTCCAGACTATTCCGGAAAATTTATTACGAAAATTACGAAACGGTGAAAACTCCTAAAAATGATTAAATATTTTATTAAAGACGGCGAAAAAATTATTTTTTCTTTTTTATCCAAATTTTTTAATTTCACAAAAAATAATAATTTTTTTAATCACAAAAAAAAATGTTAAATTAACTTTTCAATAAAAAAAAATGTTAAATTAACTTTTCAATAAAAAAAAATGTTAAATTAACTTTTCAATAAAAAAAATGTTAAATTAACTTTTCAATAAAAAAAAAATGTTAAATTAATTTTTCAATGAAAAAAATAATCTAAATAATTGAAAAAAAATGTTGAGATTTTTCACCGTCCGATTTTCCTCTGCAAAACAAGAACAGATTAACAATTTCCTTATTCCCCGATTGTCCGGCCTCTTTCACCTATCGCCCCACAGTCAGGACATAAATTGCCGTCAGACTCGGGTGTCACCAAACAGATTTGCATAAAGAATGACGCACAGGCCCAAGCGAATCGTTTAAAATGATCGGGTTCAGAGAAACTAAACCCTTGTCTTCTCTCTTCCATCTCTAAATTTCCGTTCGGTTGCATTTACGAATGGACTGGACATGCCAGAGGAAAAAGAGATGAAGAAAAAAAAAAAAACAAAAATGAAAAAGTTGCGAATGGATGGGATTTGCGAGGTTCAATTGAGGCCCTGGCCGCACGACATTGTCATTTTGACCCGGGGACAAATGGTCCCCGGGGTCCAGAGCAGGTGGGATTAAACTCTCTGGAGATCGAGTCAGTTAAGAGATCCGCCCTTGGCCCTCTCGACCGTGATTTGCCTCGTTTAAATCGATTGTGCTCTAATTTAGGATGCCCCTGTCATCTCCACACTTCCCACTTCACATTGTCTGGCTCTGTACACTCTCGCTTTAATGTTAAAAACTTTTTCCCTCCTGGTTAAACTTCGTCCAACTTTGGGTACCTCTCGTTTACCAGGGGATGCCCCTTAATTCTGGAAATTTTCCAAGGGTGGATTCAGCGAATCCTGCAGCACTTTCAATCAACCTCAAACACTTCACTGCCTGTCTAGACGGGATGACGTCATTAGACAAGGTCGAACACCATTTTAGTGAGTGTTGTGGATAATACCAGAGTGAAGTGTCACATCTCCAAAGGCATTCGTCTTCCTTCCAAGTCCCCCGGAGCCCCGTGGATTCAGAATTTCCTGATCTCAGGGTGAGCTATTTATTGGAAAATCGGTATAGGAATTTGGGATTGGAAATCGATAGACAATTTTAAAGATTTATTGTTCTGGTCGAATCTCAGCCAGGGTGCCACCATTCGGCTAGTAAATGCGGATTTATTAAAATGTTGTTGGGTAATAGAAAAAAAAACTCTCAAATTGATAACTGAAAAAAAATTTGAATTGGGGTTTGAAGTTGGAATCGCCAATTGGTGGTATGAAATAATTTTTTTTTGTGGTGCATATTTGAATTCCGAAGT